CCACCATGGAAGCCAAACGGGTGGCTGCCCAGCTCCAATTTATGGCCGGGCAGCTTGACCGTTTGGCTAACCAAGTACTTTCAGAAATGTCAAAGTGAAGAATAAATAACGTCGGACATTAAAGAAAATTTTAAGACAGTCAGGTATAAGTTGATTTATTGCATAATTAATTGTCATGATTTCACTACAACAATAAAAAACAAAATTATTTGTCATGATTTCACTACAACAATAAAAAACAAAATTTTTTCTGTGTCATGATTCGTATATTTTATCTCTAAGAGAAATTTCGCACATCTTGTGATACCATCATATGCTTTTCCAAAAAAATACAAAGCCCAAGTGTTGTATATTTTGTGCTGTAATAAATAAGCAATTCGCGTATTCTCTTGTCAAGGATAAGTTATCCTCTTATTGCAAGGTATGTGCCCCATCGCTGTCGTCCTCCACTTACTCTGTTACCCCTGTCTTTAATCAATCGCCCCTCTCTCTATCTATCACTCTACCTTGGTCCATAAATCCCCTTTCTTATAACAGCAATCCTATATCTTGAAGCATTGGTTTTCCTCTCCATCCCTCTTGTTTCCTTTTTTTGCACAGACAGCTGAATTAAAATCAGTAAATAATGTTAATATAGGTTCTAAATACATATTTCCCCATATTATCCTGAGTTACAAGCTAACAAATATTGCATCCCTCTAATTCTGTCTTTTGCTTAGGCAACTAAATTAAAATCAAAAATAGTGTTTTTAAAAGTTCTTATTACCCAGTCCCCTTAAATCCCCTAAATTAAAAAGTTAACAAATATTGCCACCCTGTCCCCACCCCCCCAAAAATAAACTCCTTATAACCGAGCAGTCTAAGATCAGAAAATATAATAATAATATTAATAAGCTCCATACAACCATGAAAACAATCTAAAATTGGTTTCTATTCATGCCAAAACAATGACAAGGGTACATAACGAATACTGCAATGAACCACCGTACAGTCTTGCGGCAACAGAGGTTTTTACTAAGCTACACCTGTTGTTGGCTACCTCGTGCCTACTGGGCAGATACCACAAAACTACACAAGGAGGATGACGGAGCACGGTAAACAAGCCCCCCGTAAAATGAGGCACTGAACTGTACATTAAAATTACAAAAGCAGGATGTTGGAGTGTTATAAACAAGCCCCTCGCAACATGGTCAACTGAACTGAACTGTACTTTGTCACTTAACTGTTGTTCTTGTTATTATTAATATTATAAGTTTACACATGAGCTCTTGAAGACCCCCTCAGTTTTAACATAGTTATTAGAGGAGACTGGTTATGAAAAGCGGCAAACATCAATGATAAAAACAACAGTGCTGCGGTTTATGTTCAACGCACGGTGAAAGTGCACAATCCTTTGTTTTCTGTTGGCAAATTGTTACGGAATAAATTAATGCAACGTTTTTATTGGTCAATACAATCAATATGATAGGAATTCTTCTGAACGTTGTGCACTTTCAGGTCCACAAAAACATATAACAAAGGAGTCTGACGGGTTTCATAACCATTCCACTCAATTAACTATGGTTTTAATAAATTCAAAAAAAAAAAAAAAAAAAAACAAATATATATATATATGATAATAATAATAATAATTAATCAATAATGAAAATAATAATTAGTAAATAATTTAAGTTAGTTATTATTATTATCATTAGTAAGAAAAATTTAAGTACATATCCATTAAAATCCCCTTTTTCCTGCCTTTATGCATCTGCGATCCAAATAAAGAGATATTTATAGTTGTGACATTTTCTGAACTTATGCAGTCGTTGGTTAACGTAAGTGTTTTTATGAACTGTGTTGTCATTACTGAACTACATTGTCTTTATTGAACTATAAAAATGAGACAAACGATGAAAGCGTGGGAGGTCTTCTCGAGAGAATCAACAAGCAAGGTTTGTGGAGAGGCATTTTCCTGACTTCCTGCCAATGAATGACTATGGGAGGAGGATGGAGAGAAGACATTTCCTCTGGGGCCAACATCAGGGAAAAAACAAGCTATTAATGCCCTGACTGTGATGTTGGACTATGTGCCGCACCTTGCTTTCACATGTATCATCAACGTTGAAATCTGTAAAAGTTATGTTGAGGTCATCAACTGAACTATTTTACTGATGTAATGCTTCTTTGTTCTTTGAACTTTAACCAATAGCATTAAATCCAGCTCATCTTAAGGAACAGTGAGATTTTGAGACATTTTCTGAAACTTAGTGAATTATTGCGCAACTACCCAGTTGTCTTGAGGTTGAGTAAATTTCTTAAATGTGGAACCAAAAGAATCCCTGATATTTAATCTATCAATCTGTGTGGTTATTGGAATTTTCATGTTTATTTTTTGACCTCCATGGCTATTTAACTATTTTATTTGAATATGACGTGACACAGAAGTTAATAATTAACCTGTTATAAAGGTATCATATCACATCAGATGCCTTGCTAACATCACTCAAACTAAACTGCAATTATTAAGGATCCTAATACTTTTTACAGAATGTGATTATGCTGAAAAGGTAAAAAGATATGATAGTTTTATCTTGCTTGGTTTAAGTTTTTTAAAATCCTTTAAAATTGATTTGGGTTCCAAAGGGTTAAGTGGCATAAGAAAAGAACCTGAAAAGCGCATTAGGTTAACTCAGCTCACAAAAAGTGTCTGATGACCATGTTAATTGGTGTCCTAGTTTAACTTTCTGCAAATCGCCAGGTTTTTTAATCCTGAACCGAATGGTTTGCTTATAACATAATTATTTACTACGTGTTTTAGATACAGGATGTTGAAGAAAAACTTTGGCAAAAAAGTAACAATATCGTACATCTCCTTTCATTAACCTTGAACAGTTCCATGGTGAAAGTAAATCAACTTTACACTAAAAATAACCATTTGCTAAAAACATTATTTTCGAGCTTCGCTTAAATGCACAATTGCGTTCAAACGTTGGCAATAAACGACTAAAACATTTAAGAATTTTTAAGACTCTTCATAGTGTAAAGAAATGTGGGAATCTTGACAAGGTTATATTGTACGCATTTGTGACACCCTATGCCCAAAACTCACCTTCGTAGCATACCCTATTTTTGACACGGTTCTTTTCTGAAGGCACTGATGCATTTTACAACAAAAATGAAGGAAGGGATGCTTTAAGTAGGAGGTAGCAACCACGTTGGGGGTGGCATAATGGCCAGCAAGCTGCATTAGCTATACAGCGAACTTCTCCCTAGCTAGAGAAAATCGCATCCATGCTGAGTGCAAATTGTGTCATTTTTGATGCGACAAGTCAGATCTCTTAATCAGGTCAACTCTGTGACATTTCTTAGATGGATAATGGGTAGCGAAACTCTTACAGTCAACACCATCAAAGTAGAGTTTCACAAATCCAGTGAGGAAGAGCCTTACCCACGGGCACATATTTGTGGCGCAATTCTCGACATCTGCTCCAGAGGGTACAACACATAAGTTCAACAGATAATGAATTTGGTAAGTGGCAGTGAGGAAACGTTCAAATTTGTATCTGTGTAAATGTTTCATTTGTAAGTGGGTATCTAAGACTGGAGAATGTTTGCTTAGTTGACAATGAGGCAGATGCTATGGTATATCAACTAATGACATCTAACTCAAGATTTCAAGATAAGGAGAGCTCAAGAAGCCAAGTGAAAAATAATTTGAGCTTTTTGACTAGAAATGTCAAATAACGTGAATATCAAAATATTCCGCTGGTGTTAAAGCCACTTTTGACAGAACAGACTTTAATTGTAACTCAAGCCCAGGGAAGCTTAGGAGAACCCAAGGTGTGATGGATATATGCAGCTGAATTTCAAGGACTAACTTTGTCCTACGCAATCGCTAATAAGAGAAGCAGCATCATCCAAGTCAAACCTACAATGCAACTGACTCGCAATTGTCATAAGGTTAAGGTGACACGACCCAGTTATTTTGTGGGGTACCATCATACTTTAAAGCTCTCTGGTATCCTCACCTTTACTTTGATCATAAGTCTAACATATAGCATGGATAACACATAGATCAATTTACAATATAGCATAAAATGTTTGGTGATCGGAGTAAATGTCACGTGGTTAAAGTGCCACGCCACTTTTGGGTCTGAGTCGAAATTCTGCTGTTGCTGGTATTTTTTCAAGAAAATCTCTCGGATACATATAGTGTGCATTAGTGCCATGTGTTGAACAGAGTTTCACCAAAATCACAAAGACCCAATGCGAGAAATTTAGCGGTTTGCAAATTAAGGTCATAATTTAGGTGAAAATGATAAGCAAACTTTACACGATTATATCTAATAAACTATGAGATTTATCCCTTTATTTTGGGGATCTTTATAACAGATTGGTCTTTGCAAGTCAGCAAAAAGCTTAGGCCTTGTAAATGCGCACGATTTTGAGCAATGCAAACATATAGAAATTATAGTTTCAGCTATTTGTTGACGTTTGTCAGTATTTAAGAGTCCTTCTCACGAAAAAAGTATTTTCTTTCAAATTCATAGTTTTTTTCCTTCAAATTTTTTCAGGGCCACAATTGATTAACTAACTACCTGGATTCTGAATTTCATGGTCGTTGACAAACTGTGGCATTATTTTCTATAAGCCCAAACTTGAGCAAACACTGAAGATTTTCGGCATTCTTGCTGAGTTTGTGCTTTGGGAGTCTTGTATTCTTTCTAGTCTGTCATGATACTGCATGCTTGTTCAGCACGCCTGCAATGACCACGCTTGAATTGAATGACTTACGAATGCTCGCTGAGATATGATAATTTTGGTACGATGAGAAAATATAAGGGATTCCCGTCACGTAACGTCCCTAGCCAGCTGAGCGCACATCATGCTGAGAACGAAAAACTCTAAAGAGAAAATGCACAAGAATTGATCAAAAATCGTGAGTTAAACCTTAACGTATCACGCGATCGCCTGTCTCACTGTACCAAAATTATCATATCTCATTAGGTTTAGGGTAAGGGAGGCAATTAAACGAATCATCACGATCTGGCAATCCAGCATCTCATTACACTGTCAGACAATATCTGATTCATCTGCAAGAGGAACAGGCTAAAGCCAGAGTTACATCGAAACAGGCCTTTCCCTTGTTTTATATAAGTGATTGGGTTTGTGCTCCTTTCTAAGAAAGCAGGTATTTTCTGCCCAAATTCCGCCTTCACAACGATATCTTTATGCCAGAGATTTAGCTTTTTCGTGTCTTGAGTTTTTTAGCAGGAGATAGAGCTTCTGACCCGGGTAGGGTGTTCACCAGGTTTTTGTTTTGTCACACTTTTGGTAAACACTTTGGGGGAAAGACTCTTAATAGTTTTATGGTTAAAAAATCCCGTAACCTTATAGTTTTCCCAGTTTCTAATCTACAACTTTATGTCCGTGTATCAGATCTTATAGGTGTTGACTTTAGAGGGGGTTACCTGTTTAGGACCACCAACCAAGGTGCTGTCACTAGTAATCCCTTCCTCGGATCTGAGGTGGCTAATTGTTTGCTTACCTACTTGAAACCTTTAGGGATTCATTGTGGCAAAACCATGCACAGCTATGGTGTGGCTCCTCAATCACGTTATCTCATTTGGGTGTGGCCCCTGAGGATATTGCCAGACATGTCGGCTGGAAATCATTGGAAACTGCTGAATATTACTTCCAAACGTGGAAGGTTATGGGTTTGTACTATTATAGTACTTTAGCCGAGACTGGCATCCCGTCTGCTTCTCTGGTAGCCAATGTTTTGCATGATAAAAATTAGTTGAGGTGTGTCTCCTACATTTGTGCCTAGATGTTATGCAGCTCCTTTACCAGACATAAATTTTCCTTTTTGTTCTGAGTTTTAGGAAGCTATATCAAAGGAAGTTTGCTTTGTGTTTCCTATTTGGTGTCCTTAGTAGTTTTCACTGGTTCACTTTCAGCTGTGGACGAAAGCAAAATTTTTTTGGCATAACTTATCCATAGCTTGGTGATGAGTGGCTATTGTGGAAGTGAAGATGTATTACTAGCTTCATTGCGAGAAAAGACACGACATTTTACTGCGCTTTTGACTAGCATTCTTATCATCTTATTCTTTTGTCGCTTGTTACTGGCCCTAGGGGAATGTAGTTTTCCTGTTTGTCTTGTTTTCAGGACTTTTTTTTCCCTCCTTTCACAAAGTTTTGTTAGTGGCAACTGCTTGCAAGATTTCTTCCCCACCCTCCCCCCTTCGGCAATGTGTATCTGTCTGCCACTGTATTTACAACTCATTGCCAGGTCAAAATGTTTTGCCCATAACTTATCCATACCTCAGCAATGAGTGGCTATTGTGGCAGTGAAGATGTATTACCATCTCGTCACAGAGGGAGGGAAAGTGACTCCACAGATGACCATAATAAGAAAAAAACAGCAAAAATTGGCTGCCACATTCTGGGACGAGGTGAAACATGAAAAAGTGGATAAACCTCCTGGGAGAAGTGAGGGCATAATCAAAGGTGTGGGTGACAAGAAACGAATTACAAAGGTGTTAAGCGACTGTTGATGTTGAAAAACGATTGTCCAACCCTCTGGTAAGGCTATCCAAGGACCAGATATGCTAATTACAAGGGATCCTTCACGTGTACCCATTTGAACTGCCTTACAGATTGCAGTTTGGCATAACAAATAAACACAGTTTGAGGACAAGAAAAGAGACGAGAATATCATCTGCAAGGGATACAGAAGTAAAGGAGACTTTTTAAAATGCCTGCCCAGCTGGTATATTAGTGACAAAAAGCAGTCAATAAAGGTTTACCTCTGTAGTGAACATACATGCCCAGTTAGTTATAAAATCCATGGGAAAAATACTCAACACATAAAACAGCTTTTGCACGACAACCCCAACATCAAGTCCTTGGAAATACAATCGGCCTGTGTCTTGACAGCATTCTCCTAGGGACAAGGTAGAAAAACAAGTAGAGAGTATTTAGAATTGGAACTGGATTGCAAACACAAAGGAGAAACTTAAGAATGAGATAGACCCGGTAAGTAATGGTTGGGGCAGTAGTAGCGTTCAAAGAATGTTGCGACACAAAAAACATCTTATATTAATAAAATGAATGTCAAAAGAGGAAAATCTGATTTACTGTCTTTACTATTTAAAACCAGTGCGACCAAAGCACACATGGCACTAAATATGAACAAAAAAGGAACTCATTTCCTCAACGAAGAGATTTTTGATGGCAAACGGAAAAGACATAGAGGTTTGGTTGCGTTAACAGCCAGTGTGTATTACCGCCTGTTGATAAAGCAAGTGACCCTAGCAATAATGGAAAGCGAATCAGAGAATACCGAAAATGTTACTTTGGTTTGGACACCATCTAAGGAAGTGCTGGAAAAACTGTCAAAAAATAAAGGTAAAAAATTCCACCCGGTGGGGTGGTGTGCGGACAAGGCTTACAGGAAGTGCAGGAGTATTTGTCAAAGAAGCAAAAATGACCATTAAATCCTGCAAATTTCACTTCACGGGACACACGAACAAAATGGAGAATAAGTTAGATTCAGACAGAGAGCTTACTTTCAGAAATCATTGCACTGGGATTTTAGAGGGTGAAACAACAAACGTTTATGAAATGATTAAGAATCAAATGGATGCATTCATTGCAGAAAGAACTAAAATAGAATTTTTATGAATGTGTATAGGGTGGTGGCATGACAGAAGGGCTTTATTTTGAGAGCTTATGCACCTAGTTGGGCCCCTCAAATGAATCAAACTGAAGTAGTTCATGCTGGGTAGATTCATAGAGGACAACCAAATTTGTCTTCCTTAGAAGTTTGTCAGGCACATTACAACTTCACGCCGATTTAAGTGTGTATTTCAGAAATGGGCATAACCGCTGGATTTCTTACCCTGAAGGCTCAATTTATTCCTTCGGAAATTGTGTTCGGCAGTGTTCGTTTTGTCTCGGTGAGAATAAGGTGAGATTTTATGGCGGAAGACCCAGAAGCGAATTCAAAGGAAGGGAACAATGGCTTAATTAAGCTGTCCTGGGCCGCGAAGGTTTAAACGTATCCTTTTGTTCTGAATGTGTCAATGAAACTGCAGAGAATTATTGCACATATTGTGGTCGAAGTTTATGGATTTAAGTCTTTCGCGAAACTTCTTCGACTTGGATACGCATTTTTTAAAACGGAGAGTTTTGAGAGCTTCAAAAAGAGATCTTGAACGAGAAATTTCGACCACTGTAGACCGAGATTGGATTTTTTTTCTTGCGAAGTTTTTGAAGTACAGAGGAAGCCGCTGTTGAGTAGCCATCTTTCCATTGTCACGTGTTGTGCTTACACGAAACGGAGAAGATCGCACAAGCCACTTAAACAAGTAAACCACTTTACTGTAAAATTGAAAACACTGATTTGAGTCTTTGAAAGAATCAAGGCTCTGGATGGGGCTATGAGAATGTACTCTATTTACAAAGTGACAGATCGTGCGTCGGGAAGGAGTTTCGACTACGACCCGCCATGCCGCTAGAATGCCGCCAAAAAAGAAGTTTTGGCAACATAAACTTGTAGGCTTTGCGATTTATTACTTTCTTACTTGGCGGAAATGATAAAAATTATTCCGTATAAAATCAAAGCATTGTTATTAAATAGATCCCGTAAAGAATTTTACTATTTTTTACATCAAGACCACAAAAACCCCGCACCGAGGTGAATTTGCGTGTTGTTAGCTTATGCTCGTGATCGATGCATTATCAAATTAAGGTTTTAAAACCCGCTTGTTTGGCAAAGTGTCTTTTTATTTCCCTCTTGTTTTAATTGCTTTGACTAAGTATTCGAAACGCCTTTGCCTTGTCAACATTCCCTTGAGACTACTTAAAGTTTGAATGTGATGCATGATGTAAACAACGAAACAAAAGCAAAGCTTGGATATAATGCAGAACATATAAATTTATGATACAAAGCTGCAAAGCCATCCCAGATCTGTTACGCAGTGTCGAGAATCATCGAGAATCCATCGTTATGAATTTTACTGTTGGCGAAATCGTCGAAGCCGTCGATGAATTTGGCGTATGGGCAAGTGCGCGGATTATTGAAAACAGAGGTGATTCCGTGGTTGTTACGTTTCCCCAGTGGAAGTCCGATTGGGACCGAGAAATTACTAGTACCTGCGAAGTAAGAAAGAGGTCGATCGAAGAAGTGTTGGTTCCTCGCAGTCTTGCCAGTCATAAGGTAAGTTGAAGCTCATTTCTCGGTTTCTAGCTACAATTGTAGTTTTGATCTCTTTCCGATCACCTCGTACTTTTACGCGTGACTCGTTTTAATAATTGTTGTAACATTCCTAGAGTCCCAATTTAAAGAAGCTTATGGCTGGAGACACAGTTTATTTAGCCGGAAAAGATGTCACAGTTTGCTTGTGCGATCCCATTCGAAAAACGGTAAGTTTGTGTTTCGTTTTTAAGGTCAACATCTATATTCTCCTTACATATTTCCACCTACGTCCTTTAGTGCTAGTTTAGAGAGAATTAAAAAAACGGTGTGATGTGAAGCACCTGAAAGCAAATCTTAAGTTTGTGATTTTACAAATCAATACTTGTGTTGGAACTAAAAAGTATGCTACTAGACTTAAACTAACCCTAGACTTGAGATTATAGTTAGATTACTTTGTTATTGGGTTGATCTGAAAAATTTCTTTTGGTTTCTGGCCTGACATGGAATCTACATGTAAAGTTCATTAAGATTAAAATTTGCCCTGGGAAAACTGAATTAAGGGCCAAGTATCAGTGGTGGGAAAGGTATGATAAATAATGAGACCCCTGTTGGGGAGGCCCCATATTCCTAGTCTGAATCCTGTCGATGTGTTATGGTCATTTACCAATGCTTTGTGTTGGTGTCTGTACTTGTCAAACAAATATTTATCTTGTCAAAATCATTTTCTTTTTAGCTTTTGTAGCTACTTGTTGGAAAGAGACTTATCTTCAATGCCTTTTTTTATTTTACTGGTGACTCCCATGTCTGTAAATATTAAATAAACACATTGAAAATAATATGCAAACAAGCTTATAATAATTTTTTTAAAAACTTTTCTTTGTCTTCAGGTAACTGTCAAGCTGAGTGATGCCACCGTCCAAACTGTCAATGTGTGGGAATTAGAGTCATCAAGGAAGGCTGATGAACAAGCAGCAAATCCAAGGAAAAGAAAGAGAAGAGATCTTTCCGGGCTGGACCAGCAGCAGCCAGAACCACAGCAGCCAGTTCCGCAACATCCAGAACCACAGCAACCAACAGCTACCGAAAATGGTTCTGTGGAGTTTTGTTTTCATGTAACATCCAATGGCACTTTAATTAGAATCGGTTCATTTTATACTCTGGGCTTTTCAGGAAATTCAATTTTTGTTTGCAGTAGTATTTCAAGGGAGACCAATCAATTTAGTTTTAAGTTTTTACTTTGTTCTTTTGTCAGTAATAAGGTTGATGAATTAATCCAGGGTGTTGCTTGCAGCATCACAGATCCCCAACAAATTTCACCATGTTCAGACGTTACTTGTAGTTCAAAAATCAAAAGTTTTGTGGATAAGATCATTTGTGAGGGCTGGGAAAGGATGTTCAATTGTCAAAGGAACAACATAGGGAATATTTCTTACATGTTAGACCTAAGAAAGAGTTGCTTAGCAAGTCAAATGCGTCAAGGTGTATGGTCTGGAATTTCACGCAGCGCCACGCATCCTGCACAGCCAATTCACTTGGGCATATTTGATCCTCTGCTTGACACTAAGATCTTTGGTCTTTCAAGCAAAAATCAGTTTCAACTGCTCTACAAAGGAAAAGATATTTCCCAGCTAGACGCTTTGCTTGGTGCACTATGGGATGTAAAGATTTTAGAGCCAAGCAATCCCCAGTCTCATTTTAAGTATGTTTGTCAGGTCAGGGTTTTTGTGCACAAGCCATCTATGAGCTTGCGTTTTAATTTTTCCTACTCAGAGTCAAATGTTCCATTTACTCCAACCTATAGAAACAGGTGTATTTATTAGTTTCAATAATTTTACTTGAAAAACCTCCCTCCCATAAAACTCCAATTTAATAACACCTTCTGGAAGGTCAAAAAGTAATTTTATTGAAGTGTGAGGAGAGAATGTTTGTGAGAGAAGATTTTGTATATTATTCACAGTGTGTACCAAACTATTTTCTGGCTATTTTTATGTTAAGCATTGGGAGATGCTTGCAGTTTGTTTTCTAATATCTTATAACATGACTGTGAATTAAACAAGTAAAATAACAGTTTTAGTTTAAATAAGTAGGGTGTTGAAGAGGGGTATAGATTTACAATTTTTTATATTCATGTTTCCGCTCAGGAAGCTGTTACTGTTTGTTTTGCTGGTGTAAATTAAAATTTAAGCATATCACCTGATTTATATCATGATATTAGACTGCTTGTAAAGAAATAAATGCTAATTTGTTGGTGCCATATTCTTGATTCATGTTGTATTTCATAACTTAACAGAAGGGGCCTGGTTACTCTGAGTTTTTTGAAGTATGTACATGTATGTTCACATTCAGTAAACTTTTTTCGATTTCCCTAGAAGGTTCAAGATATCGATACTTGACTGGTTGAACCATTGACTGTTCTAAAAGAGGGAACTTTTCCTTTATAGGGAAGAAAATATCCAGATAAATTTTGTATTAGTAACCTAGCTAGCTTGGAACCACAAGGTGGCAATCAAAAAAATTTTCCTTAACGGTTTTTTCCAGCAGTAAGGTCCCAGTTGCAGAGCAGACCAGAGCTTCAGATTTCATTTTCAGTGGACTTATCCTCTGTAATATTAATTGTTAACAAGTTCGCCATTGCATGCATTTATGGACATAAGTGGAAATCAGGGCAGTTGAGAGCTAATCAGATTTGAGAATTTTGTTTTGTTTTTTTGTTGATTAGCAGTGTGATCAAATTGGTGATGTATTAAAATTTTTTCGGAGTTACAGCTGGTAGCATATTTCATCTTTTCTGATCTTTAATAAAACAAAATGTTACAGTTTTGGGCAGTATCCAAAGAATCTACTTTCATTGTGGATTATTTGGGTCATTTATCTGTTTTTAGTTTTCAGTAAAGAAACAAGATATCCCTTTTTCCAATGAAAAAATCCAGATTTAGAGTTAGTAAAGAAGCAAACCCCTCAGTTAGTTACTGCATGGCACAGAAATAATCCTTTCAACATGAGCCCATACAACCACTTCAGAATGTGACGGTAAAACGATCAATGTTGTATTTACAGTCAAATTTAGAAATTGCAGTATTTAACATATTATTGCACAAAAAGCCAAGAGAAAACTTAATATTTATGATTATTTACAATGTTTGAGGTTCGATTGAAATAGTTGGACAGTACAAAATGCAGACTGCAGACTGGCTGCAGACCATTATTTTCAGGGTTAGAGAACAATGGGTCTTTTGTTGTCACGTTCACATTTGCATGGTGAAAGCATTGGTCTGCAGTAGTCTGCTGTCTGCATTTTATAGCTATTATCAGTATTGTTGTGTACTGAACTTATAAGCGGTAAAAGATACCCCAAGAAAAATAGCACTTTCTATATCTAGTTTATGTTCATGAAGGCAAACGGCAAAGTTTGTAAACGGGACTGTTCATTATTTCTGGATTGGTTTGCTTTGGTCCATTTCTCAGTCTTTTCTTGGAAGTCAGTTATTCCTCTGTCCCTGAATTTATTTTTCTCTTCAACGGTCAATACCCTCCACTTTTCTGATATCATGACATTAATGTCTTTCAAATCTTTTTGTGGATGTTCTTTAGCAACACGCTTGAACTCCTCCTTCAAGAATGTCACATAACCATTGGCTGGTCGCTTTGGTTCTTGTTTAGGTACATTCTCATCATTGTTTTCTTCAACTTGTGACATTTTACGCTTTTGCCGTAATGCTTTCTTTAACTCTCTATGTGCACTTCTTCCCATATTACCAAGGAGTTCGCTCTGTTTTATAGGCTTAGCTTGCAGTAAAGAGCTTGCTGGTGCATTATCTAAGTTTGTTAGATTTAGCTTGTAGTCATTTATGTCTGCAATGACTTTGTCCTTATCTGACTGGAGAACAAAGAGCTTGGATACTATTGGCCACTTGTACCGGTAAGCATGAATGATTGGCTTGCTGATCTTCTTTACATCTTTTTCAAGCTCCTTTTGAGATGTGATCATGATGAAATTTGCATCCAGAACTTTGGTTATGTCTCTATTAAAGACTTTCCCCCCATTACGCAAGATAACAGGAGTTAATTGTTCAGCATTGCTAATCCCAGTTCTGTCCCTTTCATTCAGTCGGCCAGAGATTGTAAATGTTAGTCCACTCAAGACTTGTGGCACTGCCTGTTGAAGGTTTGTGATTTCAACCAAAATGGGTCGTTCTTTTCCAGTAACTGCAACTTTTACTCGCTGTTTTGTTGGTGTCAATTCACAGACCATAGCTTTTGTAGTATTCCCTTCTTTTTCAATGAAAACTGTTTCCCCCCTTTTGTAGTGTGTACATGTAGTTAGTGGCTGGGAAGAACAATCTGTTTGCTCTGAAACAGGATTGGCTTCCGCAAGTTGATTGATTGGCTGTGTTGACTGGGCAGAAGAAGAAGTTGGTAGCTGTGAAGAACAATCTGTCTGCTCCGAAACAGGACTGGCTTCTGCAAGTTGATTGATTGGCTGTGTTGACTGGACAGAAGAAGAAGTTGGTGGCTGTGAAGAACAATCTGTCTGCTCTGAAACAGGACTGGCTTCTGCAAGTTGATTGATTGGCTGTGTTGACTGGACAGAAGAAGAAGAAGATGGCGGCTGTGAAGAACAATCTATTTGCTCTGAAACAGAATTCGGTTCGACAAGTTGACTGTTTTGGTCGGAAAAGGGTGGTTGATTATCAGCGGTACTCATTTCTTCAGTGTGATCCAGCCCAGCTTCCTCAAACTTCTCTTTTACATACTGATTGAAAGCTTCTTGGACAGTAGCCGGGCACTTAGCTAGACGTCTTCGAAAGAACCTGTAGTACCACCTGAACAGAGTAATAATCGGATCTTGGCACTTCCACCCTCCGCCTCTGGCAGAGTGTCCAAAATACAAGCATTGGTGCAAGTAATGTGTTCGCTCACTGCCTTCAGTACCACCCCGGAACAACGAATGAAAAGGCAACTCTCTGAGCATCTGAGGGAATACATCTACACGTTTCATTAGGTATGGATAAAGCTTTGAGGAACCATATCTTAACAATGTCAAAGCATGATGCAGATCAGCTAGTTCCTCATATTTCTGTATTTCTTCTTCTGTAAGCCCAAATCTGTAGTCTTTAGGGTCAGAAGATCCATGCGGAATGCCTGGCTTCAATCTGTTTACATATTTTCTTGGATCTTCATCCAACCGTTCAAGTTCATGCATCTCCCAGTGCACCCTCCAAATCATTGTTTCCAAGTCGTACTCTGAAATTTGGGGAGTAGGCCAGTTGAGATGTTCTCTAAGCTTTCCTGGCAAATCAAACTGGACCTCCTTGCTGGCAACATTTTCCAGAATGTGTGAATACTGATTGTCAGAAAAGTGACTGGCGGGAGCTGAAATTGTCTCTGCATGATTAACATTGAGAGTGACTTGCTCTAACTTCTTCCCCTCAAAATGTAACTGGAATGTGCCATTTCTAACTCCTCTGGCATTGATATTTGAAAGAAAGTGCCCCAGTGTTTGGTCTTTTACAGCTGGCCCCATACTTGGTTGACTTTCCAGGTTCAAGCATGACATGCAGCGGTCAAAAACCATATGCTCTGTTAATCGGCAGAAACAGTGATTGCCATCAGGAATGTAGTGTGTTGTTGGAAGTGATGGCAGTAGAGATTCAGGGTGCTCTCTTTCAATTCTTCTGCATAGTTCGGAACGCAAACCTGTCTGGAAGCCCACCTCACTTCTGGTTTGTTTTGTTTCATAGTTGTACATAGTAAATGAATCATCACTTGTTGGGTCCAAACCACCACCTAATATATTGTCAGAAAACTTGGAATCAGAAGACAGGTAGATTTTGTGTCGATTCTCCTGCATTGTTTGAATCCACTTATTTAAACTTCCTTCTTTGTGTGGATCTCCTAGGTTTAGTTCAAGATTCAGTCTTGTGTCTTTCCCATAAAAGATGGTGATTGGCCAATACTCCTCAGGACTGTGGTATGCTACACCATTAAACATAGCCTCATCATTAACAGTGTTAAGTGTCAGAGCAACAGAGTCTTTGCCACCAAAATTTCGTCCATCGCCATAAATTTTCCACCATTCACTTTCAGGTAGCCACCAGTACAGATACTGCAAAGTTTCTCGCAATCGTTGAGGATTAATTTGCCATCCAGAATGAGTCCTTTCAGGTTTCCAAAGAATTTCAAATTCTTTCATGTACTTGGCTTTGACTCCATTCACCTTTCTTTCAGAATCCAAAAATCCTGGTAACTTTCTCCTCAATGCACGTACAATTTCTGTCGCACTAGTAGTGTCCTGAATGTCTAACACGTCAGACGTACTCAAGTGGTAGTGATAAGGTGCAGACTCCACAATGATTGTATCATAAACAGTCATTCGTTTTTGAGGATCATGTGCTTTCTTTGCTACGGCTAAAATGTCCTGCGGTGTAAGTGAGCCATCCCAGTCTTCATCTTGTATCAGTGAATTTGAAGAGCTACATGTAGATGTAGTCACTGAGTGTGCAAGTGCAGAGAGAAAATCCTGCTTGCTGCCATGATGTATAGTTTTTGCTAACTGTACAAGTTCTTCTTTCTGCTGGCTCAACCTCCGAACTACGGCTCTTGACTTATACATCCGCCCTTTTGATTCTTGTTGTTTTTGAATGCTTTCCTGTATTTGGAGAAGGGTTTCAGTTGAGATACCTTTGGACTTAAATGTTATTGCAGGTTCTGGTGGGGATTGACTGGATGTTGGAGTGCTTGACACTGCAGTAGTTCTTGAATGATTTTCATTACACGAAGCAAGTGGGTCAGGTTCAGGGCGTTCAGGTGCAGTAGTGGCAAAATTAACCAGTATGTCTATTAACAGACACCGCAGGTTTCTTGCAGCTGTGACGTCCTCTCCTTGCCTTAAACTTACGCAAGTGAATAGTACCAACATTGCAGCTTTGCATGATATGTGGGTGCGAAATTTTGATCCACTTTTGAACAGATATTCATGTTCTGCTGCTAAACCTAAAGAGTGAAAAGGAAAAACCAGTTACTGGATAGATACTGTATTTCCTTAAAATATTAATCATACCTGTGTCTTGATTAATTGTCCCCCCACCCAAAAATATTTAGGGTACAACTTCCAGGGAGAAATATTTAAAATAATCAACTCCCCTCGAATAATCTCCCCCTTTGGATGTGAAAGAAAAATAATAATGGCCCTCTGTTAGTATTCTAGGAAATACAGTTATCAAAAGTGAAATGTGCCCCAGTTTTATAAGAATTAGTTTAAAATGTATAATATGATCAGTGACCCCCCACTCCCTCACGCTTAACTAAAATTCAAATTCTACTTTAGGAAAGTTCTTCCAAGTGGTCCCCTGGGGCATTTGAAAAAAACCCCTTTGTGCTCAAAGACTGCCAATTGTTTGTATAGTGAGCTTGAGTTCGTAATGCATAATAGCATTTCACTCAGGTCACTATAAAGTTGCTGTTGTTCATATAAACCAGGGTCCATATACACTGCAGAGTGGGTTACTGATCTTTTAATCAGGATCTTGAAAGATGTCTGTCCTTAGCAGGCATCCAAAGAACAAGGTTCCACTATATATGATGGCCATGGCATGTGCTTTCTCATGTTAAAATAATTTTCAAATAAAGAAAGTTATATCAAATCCATATTTTTTCCTTCTTTACCCCCCCCACATACACAAACACACACCCTCGGATACATGCATTAATTTTGTGTCACAAAATTTTTTTTTTTGACGATGGCGAATTTCAGAAGACATTTGAAATACCCTTAAGTGGATAACCAACGAAATAACGATGAATGGCAGCAGTATACTTTTTTTCGTCTCTCACCTATCGCTGTTTATTTATAGATTTAATATAGATTTTTTAGTGAAGCATCCGTTTGTCGGTAGGAAACACTTCAATTTCAGTTGTTATGATTTACCCCATCAGCTCTTTTTTTGAAAAATCTTAGCTTATGACTTACCGTGCTTTTGAAGCAGCTGATCCAGATCTTTGTATCCTTGTTTCTTCACGTGTATCTTTACTCCCAAAACAAAGAGCAGCGACTCGTCAATCTTGAAGAATTTTTTCTCGCCTATTAGGATCGGCTTAAAGTTTTCCGGCCAAGAGTTATCCATTCATTCAATCATAACAGTTATTCGTTTCTTCAGAGCAATCAAACTATGCAAGCGTTTCTACAAAATTATTTCAAGGAATGATTAACTCTGCAAGTTTTGATCTATTGATTTCAGCTCTTGTTTTGATTTAAGATATTTCCGGTCTCACGAGTTGTCATGCAAATATTGCGGTGAACCGACCAATGAATGAGGTTTTCGCTGTACGCTGTATATTTCGGG